CAAATTGATAAGCCTTTAACTAGACTAGTCAAGACTAGCCAAAAAAGCCAAGACAAAAAAATGGACAAAAAAATGGGGACATTACTGTTCACCTTACTGGATTAAAACGAATCTCAAGAGACTACCGTGAACAACTAAAGAACAGTGAGCTGGGTGCTACATCTTCTCATCTTTAGATTGATCACATGATACAGAGAATTGCCTAGCTGGGGTTAGTGGCTCATGACTATAATTCCAACACTCAGGAGATGAAGGCAGGAGGATTTCAAGTTCAGTGTTAGCCCAGACTACTTAGTGACACCTTGTGTTTGAGACAAACAAAACAGAACAGAAATGGAAGGGAAAAGACGGGAAGGAAGGGGAGAATTCCTAGAATGGTGTGGATTACTGGAGTTGACTCAAGAACAAGCACAGTTTCTAGTGTTACTGCTGGTGATGATTTTATTTTATTAAGTACTTGAAGAAAAGCCAAGGCCCAAGTGTCTTCACTGGCAAATGTTACCAAACATTTAAAGAAGAACTAATGCCATAGTTTTCATAAACTTGCCCAAAACATAGAACATTTTTCTCCTATACTCTGAGGCCAATATTATCACAGTCCAAAAATACCACAAGAAAACAGTAGATTAACCTCTCATGGATATAAATGCAAAGTTTCTCAGCAAAAATTTACAAAGCTGAATCCAGCAACAGATAAGGATTACATACCAGGATGAAGTAGAATTTATCCTAGGATTGCAAGGTTGTCTTAACAACCAAGAGTCAACTTAACATACCATATCAGTAGAATAAAGGACCGTATGAACCTTTCAGTAAACACAGAAAAAGCATTGGGTAAAACTCAACATTCTTTTATATTAAAAAATAATTTCATTCAGTAAAACAGGAATAGAAGCGAACTTTCTCAACCTAGTGAAAGTTTCTATGAAAACTCCAGTTAATGTAGTACTTAAAGACAAAAGATCAGTGTCCCTCTCCCCCGAAAATCAGAAACAGGGAATGAATATCCAACATTGTAGGCTAGAAAAGATCACAAAAGGCCTTCAGATGAGAAAGTATGAAGAAGGACTAGAGAGAGCTCAGCAGCTAGGAGCATTGGCTGTTCTTGAAGAGGACCCTGGTTTGATTTCTAGCACACACATGGTGGCTAGCAATCCATATCTCAAGTTCCAGGGGATTCTCTTTTGGACTCCACGAGCTTTGCACAGCATGGGTTAAGCAATAAGTTAAGCAATATTGCAGGTTATAAGAGCAACATACCACTAAGTTTTGATACCCTTGCAATGAACAATTTGAAAATTAAGAGAACAATTCCATTTACTTTAGAATAAAAAAGAATATAATCTTTGGGAATCAACAAGTCTAAAAATTTAACATATTATAGAAAGAATAAAAAGTGACCTAGGTAAATGGAAAAACATCCTGTCTTCACAGATTGAAAGACTTAATATTGTTAAGATGGTATTATGACCATCATATTTAGTATATTCTTCAAAACTTCAGGTTACATCATTATAGAATTAACAAGGTGATACTGAAGTTCAGATGGCATCTTACAGGGTATAGGATAACTAAGACAGTTTTGAAAAGGAAGAATAAAGTTAGGAAGTTCACTTCCTGATTTTAAGAGTATTCTAAGCCAGGTACAGTGATATGCCTCTGTAGTCCTTGCTACTTGAGAGACACAGGCAGGAGGGGATGCTTGAGCCCAGAGTTCAAGGCCAGCCTGGGCAATAGTGAGACCTCACCTCCCCTGAAAAATTGTTGAAATATTATAATAATTGTGAAAGTATAACTCTTGTGTAAGAAAAGACATAATTGATAGGGGTCAGTAGAATAGATTTGAGAATCCAGAAGGCCTCACATTTACAGTAAACTGGTTTTTCAGCAATAGTGACAATGAAGAATGAACAGTTTTTCAACTAATGGTGCTGGAACAACTGGATAGCTATATGCAAAAATATGAAGTTGGGCCATACTTCACAACATAAACAAAAGTTAACTCTAAATGGATCAAAGACTAAATAAAGGTAAGAGCTAAAATTGTAAAAGTCTTAGATGAAAACATTGGGATAAATTTTTGTAACATTGGCTTTCATAATGGTTTCTTAGAAAGGACATCAGAAGCCCAAACAGCTGAAGACAGATAAATTGGAATTTCTGGGCCTTGAGAATGATTAAATTGATTAGTGTAGAGATTGTACAACTCTGAATAAACTAAAAACCATTGAATTTTTATTGTATTTGAAGTGGGTGAAATTCATGGTATGTGGATTATATCTCAAAAATGAAAATTGAAATGGGCAATAAGACATCCAAAACTACTTACAGTGTGCACTTTACAACAGAAGATGTAGAAATGTTAATGAGTCTTTTAAACATGCTATCACTAAATGTTCAGAAAAATAGTAAAATAAAACTGTAATAAGATACCCTACATGCCAAACAGAACCAAGACTGGGGGTGGCAATTGCTTAGCTTCTAGGGATTCTCACTAGCCTCTTCTGTCTTTGCTGTTGATTATAGCACTTACCATAGCTTTTGCTGTTATATATCTCTTGGTTAGCCCCAGTTTCTGCTTTACCACTCTTTACAGCCTGGAGAGTAAAGAGTTTGCTGTTCACTTTGTAAAGTCTATAACATATACCTAATTTTAAAAAATACTGATTTTTTATGAATGTCAGGTTTTATCTTGTGTTGTGAGGTCAATCGGTCCCCAAAGTAGGAAGTGGGTAACTTGATGTGTTAAGTTTGTCCTCTTAAATTTATAAGTACTTTTTTTGCAGTCTCCCTAGCAAATAGAAAAGCACTTCTTATATCCCAATCAGTAATCATTCATAAGTACTTTCTGTTCCTGTTTAAGATCAGAGACTTAACTTGCTCAAGATAGGACAACAGTAGAGCCATTGTCTAATTCAGGTCTATCCATTCTAAAGCTCTCATTCTTCACACTGTGTCACATTGCCTCTGAGATAGGAGTATGTTGGATTTTTTTATACTGGGCTACCCTCTTGAGTTTTAGTGATTGTTTTCAAAGATGGCGGGAATCAGTGCTAGGGGGAAACAAGATAAAATAATGGGGAGAATATGAGCAAAGTTCATGATACATATAAAGATGTTGGAATAAGACCCATTATCTTGTATGCTGATTTAAAATAACAAAAGTAAAGATACATGTACAAAACAACAGTAAAAAGTTTTATTAAATTAATATAAATTGATTGTAAGTACTGTGTGCAGGAACATTATAGAGAGTATACTATGATGAATATATTAGTCTTAATGTTTAGAAACTCACTGTTGCAGAGAAGCAAGTACAAATAAACATTTGGAATACAGCAAACTAATTACATTGGTAAAATGTCTAATAAATATGATGATACCGTATGAAGAAATGGTTGGCTCTGCTGAAGTTGGCCTTGGAAGATAAGATGATTGAATTGGACTTGGAGAATAGGTAGGAATTCATCCATTAATATATGGGTGCATATTTCTGTGCTGTGACTGTGGAAATTTAACTTTGAATAAATACTTAAAAGCAGAAAAATTCGGCTGGGCGTGGTAGTGCACGCCTTTAATCTCAGCACTTGGGGGGCAGAGGCAGGCGGATCTCTGTGAGTTCAAGGCCAGCCTGGTCTACATAGTGAATTCCAGGATAACTGGGGCTACAGGGAGACCCTGTCTCAAAAAGACCAAAAAGGAAAAAAAAATTAGAAAAATTCATTGTTAGTTTACAGGAATATTGTGTTCTTTTGCACATTTTTAATAATTAGGTTTGTGTTCAGGTAAATTTAAAACCCCTTGGCAAAATACAGAAGCCTTAGACAGGAAATGCTTTTCGCTAATATGTGCCTTGAAAAAAATGCATTGCACGACAACTAGCTGTTGAACTTCATTAATTCTGTTGCATCCACTTTTTAGAATTTAAAAGGTTAATGGACAAAAGAAAATTGTGAGTTCATGAGAATTTGACTTGTTCTTTTCTTGGATTGTGGTAACCATAAAAGTGAATATACCCAAATATATACTTCAATTTTTTTAGAAGAATAGCTTTAACCTACATTTTGAGTACATTTTCTAGATACAGATTATTTCTCACACACAGGTGTTGTATCATAATGTAGCAATGATTAGTCTCTGAAACTAGAGTTTTGTTTTTTTTTTTTACAAAGTTTGTTTCACGTGTGAGTTTGAACAATTTATAATACTAATCTGTGTTGTTACCTAAAATCATCAATATTGAGTTTTTTCAATAAATGTCTCAATGCTAATGAACAGGGTTTTTTGTTGTTGTTGTTTTGTTTTGTTTTAGTTGGCCGGTCTCCGTTTTAATTTTCCACATTAGCCATTTTTGTCTCCTCTTTAATTATTATTCTTGGGATAAATAGGACAAATTGAAGGGAAATGGAATTGTTTGGTTTTGAGTTCTTTTATTTGGCCATGTTGTGTTTCTTATACTCTGTATTCCTTTTTACTTTTACTTCAGTGCTGTATTTAGCCATAAGAATGCCCCCTACTGCCTAATAATACATTCGTTTAAAGTGTGCATAGACAATTCTGGAAAATAGGGAATCTGTTTATAGGTCTTAAAGCTAGTGGTTGGCAGCCATCACATATGGACAAGTAGGATTCTGCTTGTGTTTTATTTTGGCTTCGATTGTCAGGGTGACAGGTATCTGTCCATCATACACTGATGGTAGAGGTTTCTAATATGCTGTACTTGGGAAAATAAAATATACTTCAGTCTATGTGGATTTTATGTCATAGTTTTAATGGTAGTACTCTTTGCAAATTGATTTGGTTGGTTTAGGCTAATCATTGTTTTATGAAATGTAACACAATATGAAACTAGTAGCATTTTATAAGTGATATCTATATAATATTCTGAATTACACAAAAAATAAATTGTAAATTTAAAAAATCCAAAATGATTAAAAGGAGAGACTTCCTCACACTTTTTAATACAAGTCAAAGAAAGAAAACATATATTTCGTTTTTAGATTATATAAATGGTGGAGAACTTTTTACTCATCTTTCTCAAAGAGAGCGTTTCACAGAGCATGAGGTGCAGATCTATGTTGGAGAGATTGTGCTTGCCCTCGATCATCTGCACAAGGTAAGACACTTCATCTTTGGCATTTCCTTTGTTAACTGAGGTACTGATGGAACTAAACAAGCTGATGTTTTCACTTGTGAATGTTACCAGTTCTCTTAATTTTATGGTCCTTTTTTTTTTTTTTTTTTAACTGTGTGCTGGGCTTGGTGGGGCATCCCTATAATACAAGCACTTGGAAGGCTGAGGCAGGAGGGTCATGAGTTGACAAAGTAGCTATAAAGTAAAACCCCAACTCAATAAATAAATAGTAAATAAATAATACTGTGTTTTGAAACATTAAAAAATAGAGCTTGAGCTTTTTTTTCTTTTATTTATTATAAAGTACCATCAGAATAAAAGCTGTTAATTGCTAAAATGAAGCCACAAGTTGTAACATGTATTTCCTTAATTGTGATTTCTGCCATGGCATGCTCTGCCTGTGCTCAAAAAAGCATTTCCTGATTTGGCTGCTGATTTGGAGTTATTCCCCCCCCCCAACCTTATCTCATTTCTGCACCTACCTTGCTTTCCTCCTCCTCATTTTCCCATGTGGCATGAGCTCAGGTACTAAAACCTGTACATGGAAGTTGTGTCCATGACCCTGTTGGAACTCTGTAATCAGTTTTAAACTTCATTTTTTTAAAAATATTTTTTATTTATTATTTTAATCTTATGTGTATGAATGTAAATTTATTTTGTGTATGAGTATATTGCCTGCATGTAGGTAAGTGCACCCGTGTCATGCATGCCCATGGAGGACAGAAGAGGCCGTCGGATCCCCTGGAAGTGGAGCAAATGGACAGTTGTCAGCTGTCATGTGGGTGCTGGGATTCAAACTTGGGTCTTCTGCAAGAACAACCAGCGTTCTTAACCACTGAGCCATCTCTTCAGCTCCTTAAACTTTCTTATATTACCTCAGATGTTCCTAATCTTGATCTGTGAAGTTTTGACTTACTAGAGAAGCAGATGGTTACTGTGTGCCTCAGCTTGTATGGTTTTCTTCAGTGATAGACAGTACTAAAGTAATTTATTTTAAAGGTGTGTGAGATCATAAAGAAACAACATGACTTGAATCACTAAATTTCAACATTTCAGGTACATCATGAGGCCTTTCTTCTTTGTCATATTCTGGTTGGATCCTTTCCCTAGCTTTAGAGATTAAACTACAAATTATACAGCATAGAAAAAAGGAGAGAATTGAAGGGAAAGGGCAAGGAGAGAACTTGCAAAGGAACAGGGAGATTGGGTCAGAATCTGAGTCAAACATGAAAGTAGTAGATGAGAGAGACTGAGAAAAAATTCTGGAAGTTACAATAAAAGAAGATAGGAGCCAAGAAAAGGGCAGACCTAGCCCAGAACAGAAACATGACTGGACAAGTGGAGGGAGATGGGTAGGGTAGTAATCTTAAGAACAACAGAGACAAGTCATAAGTGCTAATTTAAAAGACAGAAAAGAATGAGTGAGTAGGATGTGGTGGTGTCTCCCCTGTAATCCCCATACCTGGAAGGCTGAGACAGAAGGATTATGAGTTTGAGGCTAGCCTGGGCTATTTAGTGAGACCTTGTCTCAAAAGAAGAGTGAATGAAAATATGTGAGGGGGCAGGTGTGGGTGCATGCCTTTAATCTCAGCAACTAGGAGGCACAGGCAGGCAGATCTCTGTGAGGCTGAGGCCAGCCTGGTCTACACAGTGAGTTCTAGGCCAACAGAGAGACCCTGTCTCAAAAAAAAGGGAAGAATGTGGAGGGGGAGGAAAAGAGAGAAAAGGTGTAAAAAACAGGAGAACAAGGAAGCTGGCAGTGGAGAGAAGAGAGAACCAGAACAAGAAATGAAGGCCATCATGTACTACTTTTGATAGAGTTTTCACAAGTATCCTGCCTGTGCTTATTTTTGAATGATATAATTTAGTTTAAACATCTTTATATAAGAAACAAATTGGACTCTAGAATAAGCTACAAAGATTTTTGAAATTTGTAATTATATGTAGTATTTTATAACATAAAAACGACAGAATTCACAATAAATACCAGAGTAAAAAAGAAACAGAAGACTAATGAGTAATCTAGAAAATTCAGTCTGTATTTCTGTAGTACTTCAGTTTTGTTCATTGTTTACTAAAGGACATTCATTATCACTAAGCAGTAATGAGATGTGGAAGTAGAAATTACCGTGGAACTACATGTAAACATGATGGATACGGAATGAGAGCAGTATAGCAAAGGCATTCTCAGTGTCTTACCCTAAAAAGACATGAACAAAGCCAGCAGTAGTAATCTTGATTTGATACTAACACTGGGCCTCATAGGAATAGACAAAAGTGGAAATTTACTTAGAAGTGATGAGGTGAATTAGATAGTAAATAATTTTTTCCAAAGAGTTTGTTTAAATTAAAAGTACTGCTGCTTCTTAAATGTGTGTAATGCAGGGGGTTGAAGATTTAGCTCAGTGGCCCTGGGTTCGGTCCTCAACTCCAAAAAAAAAACAAAAAACAAAAAAAACACAAAATGTATGTAATGCATCACGTCAAATGTTTGTTCAGTGCACACCCAAAATGTTTTCCTTCCAGACTTTCTTGTAAACCACTGAAGATCTTGTGGGAAAAATTGTTTACTATTTTATGTATATAATTTTTATTATAGTTTTTAGAGATTATTAAAGAGTCTTCTTTTTTATATACTTAATGTTGAGAAAAGCAGTACTAACAAGTTAACAAGTATCAAAACATTCAATCCAGACTGACATAACTAAAAATAAAAAGGAGAAAACAGGTGAATCAAACACCTCTATATTACTTAAGCAGATTTATTTTATATAGTTGAAGTGCTTTGCTGTATAGCTTACATTAAAAAAAAGAGGCACACAGTCTTGTACTGCATAACATTTCAGTCATTGATGGGCCACATATATAACTGTGGTCCCATAAGACTGTAATGGAGCCAAAAATTCCTGTCATTTGCTGGTGATGTAGCTGTTATAATGCTCTGCAGTACTCCCATGTTAATGGTAATGCTGGTGTGAATAAACCTATTATGCTGCCAGTCATCAAATAGCATACACATATCATTATGCACAGTACAGTAAAACTTGAGAGTGATCATAAACTATGCTTATAATTTGTGTATTTACTATATTTTAATCATCATTTTAGAGTGTACTCCTTTTTAAAATAAGGGGTTAATGGTGAAACAGTCAATGTAACATGCTGCCATGTTACATTGGCAACAGCTTCATAAATCTCTTGTTTACTGTGTTGTTATTTTTCTCTTATGCTTGATTTAGTCTTTTGCTTTTTTGTGGCCTCAGGAGCAATAGGCTAATGTACACACACACACACACACACACACACACACACACACACAGAGATAGAGGATGGTGTATATCATACAGCTTAGGTATATAGTTTGCTATACCATTAAGATTTGTGAAAGTACACTCCATGATGCTTGCAGTATCAAAATCACCTAACAGCACACCTTTTAGAACATATCCTTATCATTAAGCAACACATGTCTGTATAAATGTTAATGGTTTACTTTGCTTATTTAGAACTGAATACCAACTAAAATGTTATTCAAAAAAAGCCTTTATTAATTGCATATTTAGCACATTGTTTTATACTAGACACAAGATAAATACATAAAATCTGAAAAGCAGACACTATGAATATATCAAAACAAACAGGAAATACCTAGAAAATATTAGTCATTTGCAGGTAAGTACAATGTAAGCATAAATGCTTTAAGATGAAAACAGAGAAATGATCATAATAAGATCTGGCTCATTTGGAAGACTTGCTGAAGCCATTAGGAAATAATAGACAAGAATTAGCCAAGAAGGCACATGAAAATCATCCGAAATGTGAAACAAGGAGAATAGAGACAGGAAATGTCTCTATTTTAGAGAGACCCTAAAGAAGCTTGTGCACAAGATGTGGACACTTTTTACAGAGAGAACTAAAATATAGTTGGTGAGGTTTGAGAAACTGAGCACTTGAGCCTCAAGATTTAAGAGTTTGCATTTGCCCTCAGAGTTGCTAAGACTCACAGAATCCTGAAGAAGAACATCTATGCCCCCAAAGGTAGATAAATGCTATCGCAATTCGTTTACTGAAAGTTATCTTAAGATTTTTATTTGTTTGTTTTTACAGTTGGGGATTATATATCGTGACATTAAGCTTGAGAATATTCTACTTGATTCTAATGGCCATGTGGTGCTGACAGATTTTGGTCTGAGTAAGGAGTTTGTGGCTGATGAAGTGAGTATTATATTTTAATTTGTAGTTAATAATAGCAGAATATAAACAAGGATGAAAAATAACTTAGCAGATAGACATTTAATAAGACTACCCATATGGGCTACAAATTTTTTTTTCCACCAATAGGTTATTTTTTTTTAATTTTTAAAAATGATTTATTTAATAACAACATACTTAGAAAAATTTGTTTTTATTAAATTTTGTCGTATTTCATACAGAATATCTCAAACAGAATCATCTTTGTAGCCCTGTCCCTCTCAGCACCTTCCCATAGCCCCCCCCCACTGGAGCCCATATACTCTGTCCTGGGTGTTAAGGCCCACTGTGTCAAGTCAGTGTCTCCAGACATTCCCCAGTGCAAGTCCATCTACTTGGAGTTTAGTCAGATCCCTCTCATATATCTATCCAAATACCTATCATTTTCTTTTTTTTTTTAACAGAGCATAGGGTAGGGGGTTATTTACAAAGCAATGGGCACCCCCCCATTTATGGCTGCACTGGAAAGTCCACATTCAAATATAGATCTTGTGACTTCCTGCACCTGCAGAAAATGGTGAGAGAGGTGCCTCCTGGCATTCTCTAGCTTATATATCCTTAGCCCCTCCTAGTCCCTCTCCCACATGCAGCTAAGGTCAACTGATTGGGTGAGAGGGGTAACTGACACCTCCCTCGACTCCTTGATAAGCATGGGAAAGAGATGTGACTATAGCTTGCTGGCAGAGTGGTCACAGGACACTTCCAGTTAACACTCTGTTCTCTTGATCCTAGGCCAGTCTGACTGGGGTAAGGTGAAACCTTAAGGTGGTTTTAATTTGCATTTCCCTAATTACTAATGATGTTGAACACTTTTTGAGATATTTCTTAGCCATCTTTATTTCTTCCTTTGAGAACTCTCTGTTTAGATCTTTAGCCCATCTTTTAATTGGGTCATTTGATTTCTCAAGTCTTTGTTTTTTTGAGTTCTTTATATATATTCTGGATGTTAAACCTCTGTCAGATGTGTCACTGGTGAA